TGAGCAGACCCTGCACCATTTCCCATGCACCTGAATCACCTTTCACCCGCCCAGCACCCCCGACGCGACGACGCCACCCGAGGAGGGAGGTATCCTCCATTTGGAGGCGCCCCCACTCAGTGACGGGCAACCCCAACAGGGAATCTCTTCCCTGTTGTTCGATCGAATTATCAGGCAGTGGTTTGTCGTCGTCGGTGGCTGCCAGGATCGGAACCGATTCGTCCCCTGAAGGTCTGCAACGTCCCGACCCCAGGAGGCATGCACATTCCGAGGTGGTTGGCATGCGTGACAGAGCGTCCGCGTTGGTATGGCGAACGCCCTTACGGTAGGTGGTTTCAAAATCAAAGTCCTGGAGAACCTCCAACCATCGAGACAACTGTCCCGATGGTTGTTGAACTCGCAGGGCATACTGTAGTGCCGCATGATCTGTGCGGACGGTGAAATGCCGACCGTACAGATATGGGCGATACTGTTGGATGAAAAAAACAATTGCCAACAGTTCCCTACGGGTGACACAATATCTTTGCTCCGCAGGAGACAACACCCGACTACCGTACGCGACCACCCGTTCAACGCCATCAACCACCTGGGAAAGCACACCCCAATACCCGTGTTGCTCGCATCGGTGTCGAGCAAAAAGGGCTTCGAAAAATCAGGGTAAATCAAGGGAGGGGCTTTTACCAGGGCGTCCCGAAGGGAGCGGAACGCAGCCTCCTCCTCTTGACCCCAGTGGAAACGAACCCCTTTAGATGTTAAAGCGTGCAGGGGTTTAGCAATTGTCGCAAAATCAGCAACAAACCGTCGATAATACGACGCGAACCCAATGAAACTCCTGACCTCTCCCACCGAGGTGGGAGTCGGCCAGGAGCTGACACACTGCGTTTTGGCGGGATCGGTAGCAATACCTGAGCGTCCCACGATGTGCCCCAAATAACGCACCGAATCACGCAACAAATGGCATTTTTGGGGCTTGAATTTCAAATTAGCAGCCCGCATCTTTAGGAAAACCGCCCGCAACCTCTGGAGATGTTCATCAAAAGTTTTACCAAAGACGATAATGTCATCCAAATAAATGAGGCACGACTCCCATTGCAGTCCAGCCAAAACCAATTCCATCAAACGCTGGAAAGTTGCCGGCGCTGAGTGTAAGCCCATCGGCAACCGGTTGAATTGAAACAAGCCGTGCGGTGTACGGAAAGCAGTTTTAGGCTTTGACTCATCGTCCAGAGGAAGCTGCCAGAATCCCGAAAGTAAATCGAGTGTGGAAAAGAATCGCGCTCCCGCCAAGGCGTCAAGCGATTCATCCATCCGAGGGAGCGGGTATGCGTCGGCAACCGAAATTTTGTTAAGACGCCGGAAGTCAACGCAAAACCGCAACGAACCGTCCTGCTTTTTAACCAGGACGATCGGCGCTCCCCAAGGGCTGGTGGAAGGAGAAATGATGTCTGCGGCCAACATGTCATCAACAGCCGATTTGACATGGTCCTTTTCGGCGGGACTCAACCGAAACGGATTTTGGCGAATTGGCGCGCTGTCACCCGTGTCAATATGGTGACGCAGCAAGTGAGTACAACCCAAATCATATTTATTTCGACTAAAAACGTCGGAAAATTCTCGCAGTAGTGTTTTAAGTTGTTGACGCTCTGAATCGAACAGGTCCGTCGATCCCGCACAAAGCGCCTCGAGCCACCCTTCATCGCTGTCCGAATGCGGTCGCGACGCAGGGACAGTGTTGACGCGATTTACGGCGGGTTCCTCACACGGCACCGGCGTTGCGTGAGCAAGCACGGTCCCCTGTGGGACCACCACCGTCCGCGAGCCCACATTTAGGACCGCGATGAAGGGTTCACCATCCCCTCTCACTATGGTCTGGGCCGGAAGTAAGTCAGGTCCACTAACCCCGGCCCTAGACGGTCCCAACAGTACCCCTTGTGCCCCAGTACCCTTAACGAGGGGCCGCCGAAGTTTCAAGGGTACCAACATTTGCGTCCCCGGAGGGACGCGTACCGTTCTCTCCGCGAACGCCGGCACCGTCGCGAACGCCGTCCGAGTCGCAACCGGTGATGGCAGAAACGCCATGCGTCTGCCCGACGGAAGCTCTATACAACCCTGGTCGATCAAAATTACAATCGGCATTTTGGCCAGGAAGTCCGTCCCCAGCAGGCACGGAACCGCCAGCGAGGAAGAAACAAAAATCGGCCCAGACAATTTTATTTCCCCGATACAAATTTGGGCACGAATTTGTCCGATGATGCCAAGTGAGCCCCCGTTAGCCGCATAGAATGGTATGTCAACAGGCATCAAGGGACGACTCCGGACAGGGAGAATATTATAAATCAATTCCGAAATAATAGTCGCCGATGCTCCCGTATCGACCAGGATGCGCACTTCAACCCCGTCGATATACCCCACAACGGCCGACGACCCCGACAATGTGGCTACCACACGATCGGCCAGCACGGACCACTGGCCGGGTTCGATATGGGTACCCGGAATGGTGCGCGATACCGGCCCCCCTCTCGTTGCGGTGTTTGAGTGCGTGACGGGTGTGTGTGTGGGCCAAACGTGTGGGGTGCCGCGACTCGCCGGTTTTTGATGGTGGAGCTTGGGATGAGGCCCGTCGTCCCGGTGAGGTGTCGTCCCGCGCTGACGAGGAGAGCGGCACCCCGAGGCGACGTGGCCCCGGACGCCGCAGTTAAAACACCGTGGGAGCGGCGTCGGAGGTGACGAATGGTCGGAACGGCCCGACCCGTCCTGGCCCGGCCGTGCACTTGTCGCCTGTTGCCGTCGGTGGTCGACGGCGTAGAGTTCCTCCGTCGGAAGGGTGGCTGCAGCCACCGCACGCCCCGCCGACGCCCTGCTGGCTTTTCGTCGGAGCGACAGGAGGTTGGCGTGGAGGAGCCTTGCCGCCTGGAGCGACGTCATCTCTGCATCCTCCTGCGCGACCACAGCGATGTCAAGGTCGTCAGCCAGGAGGAGTATTTTCTCCGTCACCATAGCGTCGATGCCGTCGTCATCCATACGGGGGAAGGCCGACTTGGCCATCGCCAGGAGGCTCGTTCGGTACGCCAGGGGCGACTCCTTTTCACCCCGCTTGCGGTCGTAGAACTCCTGTCTGCATTCCGCCGATGGTCCGTAGACCCCTCCCAGCAGCTGCAGCGCCATCGGTAACGTCGCCCGCCTCTCTTTTGGTGCCGATGTGAGGGCTGCGAGCGCGTCGCTGTCGAGGAGCGCCGGCAGCGCGCAGAGAGCCTCCTCGTCTGTCCACCTCGCCATCTCTTGATGGGCGAGGAATCGTCTGCGGAACCCGGCCCAGTCCCCCTCCGCGCCGACGAACTCTTTCAGCGGGCGCAGCCTCTGATGGAGTGCAGCTGTCGTTGTTGATTCCCGCGGGCGGATGTCACCTCCACTCGGCTGTGCGTCGGTACGAGCGGCCGATGGGATCGCCTGTCGCGGTGGTGATGACGTCGCGGCTTCAGCGACGGCGATGCCGGAGTGGATGTGTAGGCTGGCCACGCCCCGAACAGCTGCAGCGTCGATGGCGGGAGATTCAAACTCGGGCTGCTCCGAAATGGCGGGAAGGCGCCCTGGTCGTTGGCCCGCCTCGCCCCGTGCTGAATCACCGGCCCCCAGCTGCGTGATGGTCTCCAGCGTGGCGGCAGCGGCATATAACAGCTCCGCCAGCCTCCCGTGAGCCAGCCGCAACGCGTCTGACTGTGGTCCTTCTTGACTCAGATGCCCCGGTAAGGAGACATCAGGCCCCGGCTGCACCATGGCTTGTGTAGCCGTCTCGGGCTCGACGATCTCGGCAGTATCTTCCTCTTGCGGTACTTTGGTCCGCGCTGTCTTCCGTGTGTCCATGTTCGAGTTTTACTTCTGACACCAGTTGAAGTACCGGTGAAGACACTTGACGCCAAGGTGGAGGCACACGGATATTTATTCAACACAGCTCGTATGTGACATACAGCACTGGAGGGGGTATCGGCCCCCTCACCCGACTAGCTAAGGATACACTTCCTAGCTAAGTCCTAGCCTGCCTCACAGTCCTCCACTACTGGGCTAGGGGAGGCTACTTGGCCCGACACTGGTAAGTCGGGCCGGTACCCGGAGTCCCAGACCAGCTCTTAGAAGAGCACCAGCTCTGGCTTTCGGGACCACGCCGCTGGCTCAGTCCTGTTCGGCCCTGATAAGGACATCGAACGAGGGGAGTCCAGGGCTCTATCTAAGACGTCTTCAGCCTTCTTGGTTAACTATAACATAACTGAACTCGAGCCCATATAACGTCCCCTTTTATACCCAACCCTCCTTGAGGGGTGGGGCCCCGGGGGATCATAACGCCAAACCAGCCCCCCCCAGGGTGTCTGGCTCGGACGTCGCAGAGGGCATCTCCCTGTGCACACACGTAGCCCCGCCCACTGTGTTTGTTTCCCATAGACTGCCATACATAACGGCCCTCTCTCTAACACCCCTACACTATTGTAATAAAGGACTCTTTCACTGTGTCTGTCTCCGTTGTCCTTTATTTGGGTTCTTACAACTTCGCCCCACACGGCCCTCGCTCAGAGCCTTCTCCACCTCCCGCTCGGCAGCCCCTCTGCTGCCGTCGCTCACGTAGCCTTTTCTCCTGACTCCCGATGCAGCTCCGCTGCTGGCTTTCCTCTCAGCCTCTCCGCCCTTATGCAGCCTCTCGGCTGCTCTCTCTACAGCCCCACCGCTGCTCCCCGTCTCCCCCGTGCCCGGACACCACTGGCCAACGGTGCCGAGTCCCGTCCTGTGGTGATCACGCCACTTTCCACTCCCTGCCCTGCGTGGCCTCCTCCCGTCTTTATTCTTACACTCTCCTCCCGTCTCTTCCGGTTCCCGCCCTTAAGAGCTTTCCCTTCTCCCCCACGTGACCTAACTCCTCCCCCCATTACGTCATATCTGCGAGGCCGTTTACGCCCGCATTACACTATCAACGATCAGACAGCTCGGGTCTTGGATTGGAGGGAACCCCTCACCTGCAGCTGTCCCAGCTGAGCGTCCATGCCCTCGGGCACGCTCTGCCTCCACACGTCGCAGAACTCGGCCAGGTTGAACTTGACGCAGCCCTTGAGCAGCATCACGGCGAGGGCGCGGCACACCCGGTCCTCGTGTAGCGAGTACACCGCCCCGGTCGCACCGCCTACACGGCAAGGGTGGGGAGGCACACCCTGTTGAGTATAGCGAATACACCGCCCCGGCCGCACCGCCTACACGGTAAGGGGGGGGGAGGCACACCCTGTCGAGTATAGCGAATACACCGCCCCGGCCGCAACGCCTACACGGCAAGGGGGGGGAGGCACACCCTGTCCTTGTGTAGCCAGTACACCGCGCCGGCCACCCCGCCTACACAGCAAAGGGAGAATGGGGTGCCACACCAGCCGGCATACGGCACAACACAATGTGGATTTCTATAACTTTGGAATGCAACCGCATCTCTGTGCAAAGTCAATGGGTTTCTGTGGACATGCGAGTCCATAGACTCTGCGTGCGTCTACAGAACACAATGTGAACATTTACGTACAATTAACCCTTTTCCCGCTCCGAGACATCTGCAAGTTGCAGGGTGGGTTTCCCGTTCACCGCTGATTCTCGGAACGTGCGAGCGGTTGTCGTTAATTTTATTTAGAGAGGCATAGCATCGCTGTTTTTAAAGACATTGTTGCTCATCACAGATAACTGTAGCGTCACAACCGCACTCTACGATAGCTGGCGCCAAACTCTGCCACACGCCTTCCTAAATGCCCTTTTACTTCCGATTCCATTCCGATGATGTGCACGCACGTACACGTACGTCATCGGAATGGAATCAGAAGAAAAACTGACGACTCGCATGAACGGGAAAGAGTTAATAATATAATGTGGCTTTACAAAGCCTCTCAAAGGACACTACAGAAGCAGCAGTGGGTATGTTCATTCTAGACGGAGAAGCAGTCGGTTGGTCATAGGCAGAGCAGAAGAGGGAGGTCGCGAGCCTGGACTTGAACAGAGCGAGGGAGTCGACAGCACGGATGCTTGGGGGGAAGATTCTCGCCATGGTGGTGAGATGTTAACTACCTGGCCTGGTCTGCAGGAGGTTGTGGGTTTGATTTTGACCCTGACGCCTGCTGCTGTATATTTGGAGTTTGCATGTCCTCCGCGTGGTCGCGTGGAATTTTCTCCGGGTCTTCCGGTTTTTCCCTCCACATTTATAATCAAGCGTTTAGAGTATTTGGCTGCTATACATTTCCACGTGAGGAGCCACTTTGTGGGCTATCATTTGTGATGGCCAGTTCACTTCTGAAAAAGAGCTACGTAGCTCAGTGGGGCTTTACCTGGTAACATAAAAAATAGTTTATAGAATGTCCACGAAGCATCGTACCATT